CAATAACAACAACAGTCAACAGTCAACAGTCCACAGTGCACAGTCCACAGTAACAATGAAAGAGCAATACGAGAAATATGGAACGGGAGTCCTGTTTTGTAATGCGCACAGGACTTGGGGCGGCAGCCATTGTTCGCGTATACAATATTTAAGTACAAATAAGAAAATTCGTGCTTCCTTTCAAAAATAAATAAATACAAATCAGTACACAAAACACATACACAGGAGCAGTATGGGAAACGGTGCTGCAGAAGGACCAACGGCAGAACTATACTGAGTAAGTACAGCACAATTTACAATACGTTCAGTATAAACACATAAACATTGAAACACTGAAACTGGAGTGGGTTAGCCAGTGGGCCAAAAACAAGAATGTGCTGGATACTTATTTTAAGTGTGGAAATTTATGAAAAACACGTCCATAAAAATATCAAATAAAAATTAGAGAAATCGTAAAAATTTTGGAGAACACATAGAACAAACGTAATGGTTACAGAAACTATGATGAAAAATTAACATTTTCTCTATAATAACATAACAAATAAAAACCAAAAATGTATTTCTCAACAGTCAAATAATACAGGTGTGTTTGAAACTTTTCTCTGCAGTGAACCAATAGAACAACGAAACATTCCAACAATTTTGAAATTTTTTATACCCTTTATTACACCCTGCATATATTTAATACAATACTATTAACAGATGTATAAGCTCCATATTTGAATGATGTACTTGTGATTTTAGTACATTCAACAATTTTAAAAGAAAATAAAATCGCAAGGTGTAAGACATATAATAAAATTGGAAATATAGATGCGGCAGAAGATGGGTTAATCATGACCGTGCGGAAACCCACAGAACACTGTTTTGGTTTTGTTACTCTGGGATTTACCGTTTATTTGATTTCACATTTTACTGATGCAAATTAGTGACAAAAATTATTCGATTTGATACTGGACTTCTTATAGGTGGGTTTACGCCAGAGTTAGTGTAGAGATTAGGTTATGCCGGCGATAGGAAAAACTCAGAAATTATAACCACCTAAAACCTTTGGCAAAGCCTAATATGCTATTTAGTGTCAGGAAGAGTTATGTAAATGCAATTAATTATCATCGGAAAACGATAGCATTTGAAACCCGTAGACATCAAAAAACAAAAAAAATCTGAATATCTGGATCTGAAAATCTAAATCTAAATAATCGCCCTTATTACTTCGTACTGCTTAGTAGACAGACATGAACAAATACTAGGAATTTGTGTAAGAGGGGCTCTTACTTGCTGTGAAGGTACTCAACTTTACAGACAGCTTCAAGTTTGACCAAAGAGTTTGCTTCAGAGTATTCTTAAAGCATTAGAACTATTTTTCCATCTTTTTGATCAGGATAGTGTTTATTCGCCATTTAGAAAGTTGCTGTTGACTTAAGAAAACCACTAGAAATAAAATTCTGGGCTTTTGGAACCGTTCGCTGGCTATTTAATAAACATTAAATAGCTCATTAGTACTGTACTAGTTGTAGAGACAGAAGATGACGAATAACCAGTGAAACATTTCTTCCGTAAATTCCCAGCTATAGCAAGAAGCACAACAAAGTTCTTTTGTAATAATATATTAATTTCAGATAACTATTTGGTACTACCTGATTCATCAGTACAACTATGGTAGGGCGTCTCTAATCAGTACAGCAGCACTGAGATAATTGACAGATAGTTTGACACATCATGATGTACGTTGTCATTTTAATAAGAAAGGTCTATCTGAGGTAACAGAATCTCATCTATGTTTGGAGGCAAATAAAACTTTCTGTGGTTGCCAAACTTTAAGCTGGACCAAAAGTAAATTACTGGGCAGATGGATTTTACTCGAAGGGTGAAATGTCAGTACCCCTTTTATATTTGATTATATAATATTTCATATTTTTAGAGTTAAGATTAAACAGACCCTGTGCTTCACTAGTCCATCAAAATAGTTCCATAAATAAAAACAGTTAGTGTTCCGTAGAGTTTAAATTAGTTGGTTAACTAGACCCACTACTACCACAATAACATAACCTAACCTAATATAACCCACGTACTAGGAAATACATTGATTCTATGACAAAAAGCGAGTATGAAATTTTAATGAATTGCATTTCCGTAATTAATTACTGAAAAATATCAAAAATTATCAAGTGCAGATTCCAAAACTAGCTAAGTTGGTACACGCCATCCCGGCTTCCAATGTTTGCGTGCTAATAAGTTTGTGTAGATATACATAGCAAATGAAATAAAATAAATGAAATAAAATGAGTAAATTTGCTCGGTGCAAGCAAATGGAAACTGCGGCCTGGTGGCTTGCATTCCGCATTAAAATTGACGTTTATTCATTTCGTTTTTGAAAGTTTTAGATCCGGCTACTCCCGCCCCACTGACTTTCCTGTCGCAGGCGAACACAGAATTTGGTGAATGAGCGTTTCATGCACGCGAGAAAGAGACAAACTGGCATTTGCATTTGCAAAATTTTGAATAATGAAAGCGGAATTAAATTCCGTGGCTAATTAATGGCGAAGACAACAATACCAAATGCAACGTAGCATACAACCCACGAGGCGCCAACAACAACAACATTCTGCTCTCCAAACTTTAACACGGGAACGAACTTGCTACTTGCGAGTACAACGAATTATACTTAGTACTCCTGGGCAGACATTGCACTTTCCCATTGTAATGCTGCTAACACCAATTCGATTTGTCTGTCCGTTTACTTGCCCCGGTGAAAGTTTTTGATGTTTTTATGCGTTATGCGTTATGGTTGCTGCTGACGACATGACGTTGCGCTGCACTGACACTTGCCGACATTGTTTTTTGCTTTCTGCCTTTTATTGTTGTTGTTGTAGATACTGTTTTTACTTGCTTTTGTTGTTGTCGTTGTTGTTGTTGTTGTCGTTGTTGTCGTTGTTGATTTTGTTGCTAATGAAGGACGTAGGAGCGTTTACCTTATATGTGTTTGCAAAATAAACCAGAATTTGGATTTTGCTCGGAGCAATAAAAAAAACTAGGACGCGCTCGCAAATTCTACATTGGAATTTGTGATGCTGCTTTGCTGTTAAACCTGGTACTGATGTGTTCTATGTATTGTACGCATATAAGTAAACGAAGCTGCATCTGTATATATTGCTTCATGTGTGTATGTGCCGAGTTTTGATTCCAACACCAAAGGCCACCACCACCGCCACCTTTGAAAGGAGAAACGTGCCGTTGTGTTTTCAGAAAATTTTTCATGCAAGTTTTTTTCGATCTAAAAAAACGTACGAAATTTGCATTTCAAATTTAATGCTTCACAAAATCAGTTAGAAAAATATTTTTGTGGGCTGCAGAGCATATGTGGGCCAATAAAAACACACAGAATACCAAAACATATCAAATTTGCTAACATAAGGACTTTGAACTGCCGCCTATCGCTTTCACATAGATTTTTGGTCGAATTAAGTTTGCCAAATCTCCCGTAATTTAGATTTTGAAGGAAATTAATATTTTCACATACCGAATTCGATTAATAAATCCTTTGATAACCTGTAATTTGGACTTCAAAGGAATCTCATAACTTAAAAACCACAATAGTTCGTATTCATCTGATCATTTTTAGTATGTTTCAATGTACATTGTGACCGAAAGGTTTTCGGAAGTTCTCATTTAAAATTCGCGCGCTGTATATTTTTCGATATTTTAAGTTTATGTAGTTTGGCAGCACTGTCCTTTAATTACTATGCCAAAAATGAGCGCGATCTGTCAACCGTTCGTTTCGGCAGCTGTTGAAACCAGTTCACCTCAGTAGTGCGGTTGCGAAAAAAACTATGGGAAAAATATTGATCAAAGAGTTTGCATCAAATTTTGTGTTTCGAACGAATTTTCGTGTGCAGAATCGTTGCGAATGCTACAAAAGGCTTATGGGGAATCAGTTTTATCGAAAACTCAAGTTTATGAGTGGTACAAAGCCTTTCAGGACTGTCGTACGACCGTCGAAGACATGCCGCGTTCTGGACGACCTTCGACCTCTACCACCGACGAAAACATTGAAAAGGCAAAGGAAATCGTGTTCAAAAATCCTCATGTGAGTGTTAGAGAGATAGCACGAGAGCTAGGCATCGGTCGTGAGATGGCTCGTTTGATTTTGGTGGACAATTTGTGTATGCGACGTGTCAACGCTCGGCTTTTTCCGATTCACCTCAATTTGTTCCAAAAACACCATCGTGGACAGGTCTCGTTAGACATGCTTGATCGTGCCAATTCCGATCCAACTTTCATGGAACGCATCATAACGGGTGACGAGACATGGGTCTACGAGTACGACATGCAAACAAGCCAACAATCATCGGAATGGAGAGGAAAAGACGAGCCGAAACCGAAAAAACCACGCCAAAGTCGCTCGAAAATCAAGGCAATGCTGATTGTTTTCTTCGATATTCGTGGTGTGGTGCATCATGAATTCGTCCCTGAAGGACAAACAGTCAATAAAGCCTATTATTTGACTGTTTTAAGACGTTTGCGTGAAAATATCCGCCGTAAACGGCCTCAATTGTGGAAGGATAATTCATGGATTTTTCATGACGATAATGCTCCCTCGCACCGAGCCAACATTATCAACGATTTTAAGGCCAAACATTCAATAAATACCATCGAACAGCCCCCGTATTCACCTGATCTTGCACCGTGTGACTTTTTCCTGTTTCCCAAACTCAAATTACCACTCAGAGGAACGCGTTTTGAATCCATAGAAGACGTAAAACAGAATTCGCAGAGGAAACTCAAAGCCATACCGGAAAGCGCCTATAAAAAATGTTTTGATGATTGGAAGAAACGTTGGCATTTGTGTATCGCTTCTAATGGAGCATATTTTGAAGGAGATAAAATAAATATTGATGAAGATTAAGAATTTTGCGTTTGTACATTGTGACCGGAAACTTTTCGGTCACAATGTATTTGCATACCCGATTTCAATCTAAAGATAGTTTTTTGGTACTTACCACCAGCTGGCGCTACGCAGTAAAATAAATGGGCTATCACTAGCGCCCTAAATGGGACAATGATTTTCATGCTGGTCACCGTTCCTGTAGGTGCTGGTGCTCTCTGATGCCGTAAGCGATATCTCTGAATCCTCCACTGATGCGTCGTACTACGCAGAGTGAGTTTTCCTTTAGGAAGTGATGTAGACAACTTCACTTCTGTAATGTTCGCACACTGATTTTGTTGTTATTCTTGCCATATGTAATTCACCGAAAATTTTCAGCACATGAATTAGAACCACTTTATCTGCTAGTCGGAGAAGATATTAACAACTTTTTTACTTTTAAATTTCATACCAGTTTTTTATGTTTTTTTCTATTAAATTCGATTAAACAGCATAAATTTTTTTAATCTTATATTACTTTTAACTGACTTATTTTCACTATAAACGCATTTTTAAAAAATTTTAATTCTGTGATTCTGTGATTGCAAGCTTCATATAGGCTTTTATCTGAAAATAAAAAAGAAATATTTTAAAAAAACTTTGAATACAAAAGTATTAAAAAGTATTACAGAAAGTGATCGGTAAAATATAGTAAATGATATTTTTGATATAACTAAAATACTTTATCATAAGCATTTTTAAACAATTTTATAAATGTACACAAACAAAAAGAAAATCTCAAGAAGAAAATCTCGTAGTTTAAGATATTACCTAAATACTAGATCATCCTCTTGGTATTGAATTTATTTTTGCTTGAACATTTGTCAGGATTCGAGTTCGGTTCCTGGTACTTGCAATATCAAAAAATATTTATTTATGAATAATCAAAGACAAGAATTATTTCCAAGACCACTGATAATAGGTATTTCGCAACACACGAAACAGCTGTATGGTCAGCCAAAAATTCAATTAATTAAAATAATATAAAATAAATTTTTGTTGTTGTAGTTCACTACTGTTCGGATAAACCTCTTTTTGCTTGAATGTTAAATGCTAGCGATGAATTCAGCTGAGACCTAAGCGTCCAACTGCTTTTGATCAATATTCTAATATTTATTGAAGTGAGGGTTTGACGAAAAGCCGTTTCTACGATAGTACGCCTGTATTTTTAATAAATTTTTTTTTTCTATTAAGAGTTTAATTAATATCGAGACATATAAAATGTTTAAATTAAAAGTATATTGAAACGTTAATGATTTTTAGAAATGCGAAGTAACAAACATAATGCTTGTTAGATTATTTATATTATATTTATCCTATTAGGAAAACTAGCTCCAGTTTCTCTATCTCCTTTAATAGTTTAGAACATTTTATATTTATAGTAGACTTCGTTGTATGAACTTTTGAGACTATAAGCTCTTAAGGTTATTTACTGTAGATGAATTCACTTTAAATATTATCACGACAACGTCTTGTAAACATCTACGAAGGAGCGGCGGAAAATCTTATTCGCGTGTCGAATTGCAACAGTCCAGCACTGATGAGTCTGGGACATGAAACTGTGGCTGGAGCTGCCACCAGCACTTGCACAGACACTGACATAAACGATGCATAGAATTTCAGCAAACAACATAATCAATTATGCTAATTAGACAAAACTATTAAAATCTAAGCAGCACAAGACAGAGCACCCAAGTCAGAACAGAATATCAGGCATTTCATAGTTGACCGCACACTCACACAGCAACACAGCAACACAGTACCACTGCGACTAATACTACTTTCTACTTCCGTGAGAGCCTCTGTGCACACAAAATTCGATATTTTACTTAATGAGCCCATGGTAAATGACAATACCCGCCATTGAGGCAAGAAGCTGTTGCTGTTGCTGTTGATGCTGCTGTTGCTGCTGTTGTTGTTGCGACTTCGGTGCACACGAAATTGTTGTCGTGCTTAGCGCGATGGGTATAGTAGTTTTTGACGGGGTCGGCATTACTGCCGAGTCGAGCTGCGTCACTATTCGGCAAATAACGACGATATATTAATTGCCGGCCATGGAATTAAATACATGGATGCACTCACACACGAGCACACAGCTGCGTTCCATTACGTACAGTGATTTAATTATCCGACATTGTTTAGTGTAGCAGCGCGCATACAAAAAGATTGTCTGCACTTCACCTTTAGCTTGCTCTAGTCAGAAGCGTGCGGGTTGTACTTTTGCCCACTGTGTGTCTAATAGTTCCATTGTTTGAACAAAAAGGCTCATTCATTAGTTCATTAAGAGAATCATAAACAAGCTGGCAGCGCTAATGCCGCCGCTATTGGCCTGGTCGCGCTGCTTCTGCAACTGATGGCATACAGAAGTGTCAATTATGTGTGCACTGTTTGCTTACAATGAATAACATTTGAACTTCTCAGGTTTTGTTTATTCCAAGCTGTTTACCGTTGATGTGTACCGTTGATGTGTACCGTTGATGTGTACCGTTGATCAATACTGTTAGAAGGTTTTCGAGTGTACTGGACTCATTAATTCAATGGAAGTGTCAAATGTGTGTGCCTAATGTTCTGGTAATTGGTTAAAAATTTCGATGAATTGCTCTTTCCATCTGCCAACACTTGTGTCATCCATCTTTTACAAAAACACGGTTCTCTTCTATCCAATTTCACAGTAAAACTTTATTTCAAATAAAACAACAACAACTCTTTTTATTATGACAGATTGAAATCCAAAATTTGTTCTTTTTTTAACATATTCACTTCTTTTTTTATCAAATTTATTAAAATTTACTGATGTATGTAGTTTTGGAGCGAGAGAGAATGACCAATAAGTCATTAAGCGCGTATTACTCATGAGATTTGTTTGAACAACTTTTTATGAATGCGAAATTTCTTCCAAATTTGATGTGTATTAGCAACATTTGAAGGTTTAACAAGAAAGTTTGATGGAAATTAAATAATTTTGGTTTTTCCTAAAAATTACTCGTGTTTCTTCGTATGCAATCCGATTTTTGTCGACTTTCATGTTCGACTTTCAAATTTCTCTCATTTTAAGGACTGGAAGTGAAAACATCGTTTCATCGCGCAAGTAATATCGTTAGCAGACGATGCTTTGCTATTATGAATGAATTATATCTTTTAGTTTACATATTATTTGTATTATCTATCTAGGGCGTATAGAAGGGTTTTAAAAATACCTCGAGTTAAGAAAGAGTAAAAGTGCTCAAGTGCACTGGCTCAAATAGAAATAAATAAATAATAAATAAATAAATTAATTACTATTAATTACTATTGTTATTAAGAAGATTTCAAATATTAAAATTAATAAAATATATAAATTAAAATAATAAAATATATATAAAAAATTATTCTTACTTATAAAATCATATGTACATAGTAGTTGCTGTTGACACTTCGGCGATTGCTTCAATACTGATAAATGAATGTTTGTACTTTTTACTGGGGCAGCGTTCAAAATAATGTTGACTGTTATGATCTACAATCAAATTTGATGTGTAATACGCGCTTTAGACATCAGTAACCATTATTTGCATTTTTTTTATTAGATTCCTTAATTTATCTTAATTTTTTCATTTCTGGGAATTCATGAATATTACTGTAACAATTACTTATTCATACTGAACCCAAAAGTTGTAGCTTTATGGAACACATATAAGCATGGAACGAATGAGAATCATATGAGATAGGAAAGCAGTACTGATATTATTGTAATTCATTTTAAGAAAAATTTTAACAAAACATAGAAATATATCGAAATACAGTTAAAGTACTCCCCGTTATATATGGCCTAACCTGCAATTTTAGTATTTTTGTTATTCTCTTCGTGTTCACTTCTAATCCAAACAAAAAGCGGAAAAGGATATTGAACTCCGTGCTGTGTCAAAGTGAAGTGTACTGCGACACTAGTTCTGCTATTGTCATTGTTGTTGTTGTTTATGGTGACATTAGAAGTAGTCCAAGTGGTGGTATAGCCTTTAGTATTGTTGCATTTATAGGCATTATGTTGTTTACTGAATATTGGGCATTCATGAGGGATACATTGTTGTTGGCTCTAGCAATAGTTTTTTTTCCACATTACACATACGTCAATACAGTTGTATTATTTTATTTTTTTCTTTGCTGCTCATTTTTAATTTATTTTCTTTTATATGCTACTATTGTGACATTTCGTGTATCTTTTCTATCAATCTTAATGCAACTTACGTGCCATACATAGAACAGATAAACAGGAAAATAGGTTCCATTTTATGTGTTTGTTGCGTGTCACATGGGAAATAAATAACATAAATAAAGTCGGCAATTTTGAAACATTATATACATTTAACTAATATATATATAATATAAGATAGCATTTCTCGAAGCAGTTACCCTTAACGTACGAGTATATAATGAAGTTTAGGGATTAATTGGATTTATATTAGTCCTTTACTTTACTTACTAAATTAATTCATTATCTCTTGTTTGCCGGTTTAAATATCTTCGAATATTAGAATGTAACATTACATATATTTACTTACATAATAATAATACTTCCTCTCTTCTTTTATTGCTACACACTTCACAAAAAAATTTAAAAATGTTCTTCAACCTCAAATAAATTTATGAGATCGTAAAAAATGAAGGCGCAAAGTCATAACTCACACAATTGACTACTACGATATAGAATGTCATGTCCAGCTGCCAGCTTAGATATAGATAGACAGATAGGAAGACATAAGGGAGAGTTGAATGAAAAAATTGTGATGTTTCAAACACATTCTGACAGGTCCATTAGTAGCACACATTGTGAGTTGTGACATGCTGCAAATGCCATAATCATTGAGTGCATCGCATGCGCTGAATTGCAATTTTGAGTTTTTCCCTTAACTTTCCATCTATATTTTTTGACGTTTACAAAAATACTTTGTACAAATGATTGCTGCATCCTTAAATTGAATAAATAAAAATAAACTCAATCAAATCCTTTGTAACTTTACGTATAAAGTTGTGAGTATTTCTAAACTTCCTTTCTGTTTAAATTTAAATATTGTTTAATAATTTCTAATATCTATCTTATGTCGAGAGTACAACATAGAAACAGAACTACACTCAATCCAGTAACATCTATCTACCACAAATTAATAAGGGTCACAAAAAAAATGTTGGTGTCCTGTGTCCTTCCATAATTATTAGCATTACCTTTTATGAAGTTATCAGAATCGCAGCGGGAATGTTTAAGTGTTGCGTGACGATCACATTAGAACATGATTTATAAAATATAATTTAATAAACATAACAAATCATATCTCAAGAAGAGCATTTCTGACATTCTAAAAGTTTCATAATACCGATTAAAAAATTATTCATATGAATAATTATACCTACTTATTGTATATAT